ACGGCGCGGTGCAACGGCGTGTTTCCCCATCGGTTCCTGGCGTCGACGTCGGCCCCGAGTCTCGCGAGGGTCTCGATCGCCTTCTTCTTATTGTGTTCGACGGCGAGGTGGAACGGCGTGTTACCCCATTCATCCACGGCGTCGACGCGCGCTCCGAGATCGACGAGGGTCTCGATCGCCTCCTCGTCCCCGCGCGCGGCGGCGAGGTGCAACGGCGTGCGGTCGTTTTCCTTCGTGTCGTCGACGTCCCTGGCGTGGATGTTTCTTTTTTTGCTAGTTGCGAAAAGAGGCGTTGGGCGCGATTGGCGTTTACGCAGCACGGGGGCCATCTGCACCGGGTTAGGCCAAAGACTGCCAGCCTTAAAGCGCTCGCTTATTACGGGCGTGTCAAGGTCAAGCACGATGATAGTCGTCGTTTTAACGATTATTTTATACGTGGTGGCTTCGGTGGTCGCGTTAACGATCGATGCTGCGGTGCTCTTTCTATGGGAAAGAACCTTAAGATGTGGTTTGCTCTCTAGGCAGTAAATCACTTCGTGGCCTAGCCTCGAGCACCCCAGCGTGCTAGCATTGAGCATGTTGATAATAGTACTATTGAAAACCCCTTGATATGCACAGTACCCTGGGTGAATACACATTCAACTCTTTCCTGAAGCATTGTAATTATACAGTTGTTCAACACCATTTTATTATATTGATGGCTTGAGTAACCATTTACCAACTTCTGCCTGTTGAGACTCTTCAGCCATTCCAAACATTAGCTGAAGCTGCCCTTTGCAGGCTCACCTCCTTCCCCAACCACTTGAAATCCGCGATTCATTAGGGTTCAATAGAACAAAGGATATGTGGAAGCAACTGGTTCTGGCATTCAGGTAATGCTTAAAATTTGTACACCTAATCCTAAGCAATTCAGACCTTCAAATCCACAAGCTTCTTCTAATGGGACACCCTGCAACAAAGTCCCAAACAAAATTACCATTTCACCCCACAATATCTAACTTTCAATGAAAGTTTCATCAAATGAAATGAAATCCATAGCACATTCAGAGGTTCATAAAATTCTATTCCTTGTAATACAACATGATACTCAGCAGTGCCTAATTTTCAGCGAAGTAAAACCTTATTTGCATATACCTGAAACGAGCTGTAACTTCCATCATGGTCACCACAAGCAATATTGCAATTTCCCATTCTTCAACAAATGACCACCACCTGGAACTGTCAACCATTCTTTATAGTCCAACTAATTCTCTCAGGGCCTTTTCAACCAGGACCACTTGCAAGGCCCCAATCCTGACCCAATCTCATGTAACATCTCTATAATCCAGCCACGCAGAGAGTGGTTTCCTTCCCAACATTGTCTAAACGGTGTGAACTACACTCCAGACAAATCACCAAAACTATGCAAATGGATCGATAAGGACATGAAAACCTGAGCAACAGAAAACTTGAATTTTTGTTGAATACAGACCTCATTTTCTGAAGGACTGAGTTTTTTTCATTCACAATTCAAAACCCCAAAGCCTGTGAGAACAATGCATCCTTCCACTTCCAGCTAATTAGAACCTGCAAACCTACATAAGAGACAAACTACTGCATATATATTTACTGTATAATCATGAAGGACCAGTTTCAGTTGAAGGCCACAAGTCCAAAGCCTAACCCGGATCAGGTGCATTTGTCTCGACACAATTCTCAGTATCCCTTAGCACCAATTCCGATCTTGAAGTAAATGACAACTATTCCCGGCTCTGAGACAAAGGAAAGCCATGCTTTCCTCTGATCTGCAGTGGAGGTACTTCCCCGGGACAGCAGACACCCCTATGATGTCTGCTTACCTCCTGACTGACATAGACAAATTATCAGAAAAGCAGCAACACCATAGAGTATTAAAGACTGTATTAAGTTCAGAACATCTTGCAAAAGGTATATAAATGATCTGTACATGAACATGGGGGGGGGGGGGAGAAGGGTGGAGAATCCATGTATAGAATCGCTTATGTGGCAGGTTCTTGACCCTCTTCTCAAGAATGGGTACACTAGCTTCTTCAGTCAGTTCAACCTTCATCTCCATGTTCTCCTAGCTTCTTTGTCCAGCCATCTACAATTGAAAAATGGAGTGAAAGGGGTTTCATTTCAAAACGGAGCGTTTAACAACCGCAACAGTTCGGCCGTCGTCAACACCTCCGACAGGTTCAGCGTCTTCCACGCCCCGGTTGATCTCGCGAATCTTAACACGGGGTTAAGCGGAACGACCGGATAGAGACGACCCGGTCGTCTCGCAACCGAGGGGAGGCGTATCGGTCTCGCGCCTCGATGGTTGAAGCCGACGAGCATTTTCGGTCGTTCGATGCGCCCCCGTCCGATCGAGATGCAAACGTTGCGAACGTCGTCCACCACCCTGTTCGTCGTCGACCTTCTGCATGCGAATCTTTTCCAGGAGTTTGCGTGCAAGACCGCCTGTAACCACGATGCGATGCGGGGTATCCGATCCTCTTCGAGCTCGCGTGGTGCAAAAAATTGCACTCCGCACACCGAAAAGCTGCCCGTTTCTTTCCCGTTGTGAAAGATTTTGAAGTTCGGCCTCGCGAGTCCGTTTCGGATGGCACGCACGACGAATCCCTGTCCTCTTTGATCCATGACTAACAACTAAACAGACAAAAGAAAAGAGTCACACCGACACGGTTTTGCGTCTCTTTTTTGTTTTTTTTTTGTTGAACGTTCGTCTCACGTCTCGAAAGAACGTTCGAACCGCATCGGGACGACACGATGCGTTGAGGAACGATAGACCAACGGGTAAACACGGAGGCACGAGCGGGGTCGCGGTGTCGCAGTCGCCAACGTAATAATCAACAACGTTAACCGCATGATCCATGAGTGCTCTCAACGCGATCAATGCGACTGCGTGTCCCACGCGTCTCGTGTCCGTAAACCCCCCGTTGGAGATTCTATTATACATGCACGGAAGTCTCGTGGCGACGCTCGTCACCGTCGACGCGTTCCACGCGACCGACGGGTCGGATAGAGCGTCGTACAGCGAGTCGTACTGGTTCGCGGTTCCGGTGCCTGCGAGGTTGGTGGAGTAATCGGACCCGAACAACAACACGGCCATCGAAAAGAAGAGCCGCGGATCGACGCGTCCCGCTTCGAAGTGCCGCCTCATCAGTTCGGTGCAAGTCCACCGGATGGGAGGCCGATCCGCGAGAAAGATGGGACACAAGTCTCCCCGAGGGTCAACGACGACCACGGACCCGTTACGTCTGAGACACGTGTGTATTATCACATCGCTATCGGTCGACACGATGACGCACGACTCGCATCCGTCTCTCTTTGAAAACGAGATGCATTTTATCTCGCCCTCGCCCGGCACCTTGGGACCGTTGAAAAAAAAGAGCATCCGCTTCCCGACCGAGACGGAAGGAAGGATCAGAGACTCGGCGATCCGAGCCACCACTTCGTCGTACACCCCCTCTCTGTCTCGAAGGTTGCCGATCGCGTCTCTCAGACGCCCGTAGCACGTGATCCATCCCACGTGCGTCAGCAGCGAATTGCACTGTGGCGATCGAACGCACCCGTAACGGCGATTGAAGCGTTCCGTGGACTTTCCCCACGATGTCGGATCCTTTCGCGGTCCGTCAAAACACAGCATCACCTTCACCTCGTCCGTCGTCACGTTCACCCTGTCGGAAGAAAAGAGCATCTCGCACGCGTTTTTTACAAAATCCGAAAACGAGACAGCCACCTCTCCCACGCGGATCGCCACCGGTTTTCCAGACGCGTCGAATGCTCGCATCTCGATCTTGTCGTCGACGGGGGGGTCTCCCTCGTCGAGCGTCCTCACGGACATGGGTAAAGCGTTGAGTACGCATTCTGCATCGATGGCTATCGAATCCAATCGGAACGTGTTGCACGTGTCGCTGCTGCACGACGACACGATGCAAGACGCAGCGTTCGATACCTCGAACGTCTTCAGCGAATCGGAACGCCGCGATAGATACTTCCACAGGCCGGGTATCCCCATCGAATGAAAAAACACAACAGATGGAGGCGGGGCAAAGACGCGGGAAGGACGAGAAGGGGGAGGAGTCGAAGATGCGTGTGGGTGCGGATGCGCTGCGTCGTGAGAGCGGATTGGCTGATCGTTCACACAGCGTCGGATCGCGAAACAACACGACGGCATCGAGAAGGTCTACGCACATAGCTTGGTGAAACGTGCTCTCGTCAACGTTGCACGGCGCATCCGCGTTTCATGGTGGGTTCACGCGTTGTGTTGCGAGGTGCCAGCGGCTCACGTGCCAATGACAAGCGATACAGGTCGTGCCGTGTGTGGGATCCTCGCGTGTTTTTTTTTGCGCATTTGCTCATTGGCGTTTTTTTTTAATTAGAACTCTGGGAACAACTTTGGGGACAAGCGTGTGGCGTTTCTGGAGACGACTTTGCAGCGCTCTTTTTTGAAGTCGATGACCTAGGAGAGGCTGACGTACCCGAATTCGAACACGCCCCTTTGGGTTACATTGGCCCCGATCAGGTGTGTGTGCCCGATCAGGTGTGTGTGTGCCCGATCAGGTGTGTGTGTGTGTCTTCGATCGTTTTTTGTTAACTCACGATGTTTTTTTAGGTCGAGACCGTCAATAGACACACCCTTAACGTGCTGCTAAGCACCGCGTACGACCCGTCTGTGGTGCCGCTCATACATAATCTCGTGAGCATTCCCAAACATAACATGTACCCGCACGCGCCGATATCAGCACCACCAGTTGGACGCGACACGACGTTCTCGACAACGGATGGTCCTCTTGTTCTTTCTGATCTTTCTGATCTTCATCCTCTGATGCCGCTCGTCGTGTCGGAGGTCGACGACGCTATCCGTCAGCCTCCCTGCGTCGGTCTTCCGCTCCTTCCGCATTCCACTCCCGCTCCCGCGAGGAACGAAAACGCAGAGAACGAAAACGAAAACGCAGCAACAGAAAGAGAAGAAAGAGACAAAGAAGACAGCGGCAGCGACACCTATGTCGGCAGCGACGACGAGGAAAGGGGGGAAGACGAAGACGATCCAAACGCGAGGAACTCGTTCGACGATGCAGGATGGCACACGAGACGCGTTCCCGCGTTTTGATCCCTAGACCATCGGTGGTGCGCACTCCCGTTTCGCCCCGTCGTGAGGTTCCAATTTTAAGACGCCGCACCGCCGCTCCATCTCGTCGAGAACAAGAAGGGTTACCGATTCACCTGCCCGTGAGGTGGAAGAGCGCATTTGAGTCCCACACTCAAAACCCCACCACGAAGAAGATTCGTGTTAACTTTAGCAAAGGCAACAAACACTCACGCAGGGGCATCGAGAGGTTAATGTCAGGAAACGGAGACGGCCTACTCGCGTTCGGAGAGTTGTTAAACGCGGACGTTAGACTCGAACGCCTGCCGTCGAACGTGAAGAACTACGGCACCGCGTTGGACGACCTCCCCCAGGTCGTCCGTGACTTTGTACCCCAGAGGGCGTCCTGCATAAGGATAGCGTGTTTCGCTAAGCACATCCCCCCCTATGCGCTCGATTTTGTTCTCACCGACGGGAAAAACGTCCTTTATTCCATGAAACTCTTCCAAGATCCTCAGTGCGGTCACGTGGGACACGTGAAGTTCTTTCGATTAGCCATCTTTATGGAGCGGTTCGGTACGTCTGTCCGTTGCGACCGCGAACTCTCTGCCGCACCGACCCTCGTCGCGCCCCACCCTCTCGGTCGTGGAACACGCACACCCAAACGGAGGATCAAACCCGCAAAAGAGGTGAGTGTCTGTGAACCGCCGGCCGCGCTCGCAGAAACAACAAAGCTTTTTGAATTGTTTTTTTTTGTTTTAGATCCAACCGGTCCCACGCAAGAGGTTTCGTGGACAGCATGATCGCGGTCATCCACCCGGAGACGTGGACAGGCATGAACTTATGCGACGTTTCGTTGAATCGTTACCCAAGACCCCAACAGAAGACGATGAGACGCCGAACGGGGACAACGACGACGAGATCTCGTTTCTCACCGAGCTGAAAGTGGAAAAAAAAAGGTACCCCATTACCATCACGACGACACCCCTGAGGGAAATCTCTAGGATGAAAAACAGGCACTCCGTGTGCGTTGCCGTGGCAACGCTCGGCCTGTCGTGTGGAACTCTCCATCGTGAGTTGTTAAAGCGACACACCCACGATGTTAACACGAGCGTAGACGGCGGCATCCTCCTCTTTGGCGAATCGCTCGTTTACGTCTGGGCGAGGGTGAAAGAGTCGAGAGAGAGGGATCTGAGGGCGCTGGTAGACGGCATCGTGGAGTCCCTAAACCGATCCAGTCCAAAACCGAGCGGTATCGCGGCGTGTTACCACTACGGCGAGGGGCGTCCCTATCGTAGACGCGTGGGAAACGTTGCCATCGACGATCACCGATCGTGTCAACACACCGAAATGTACGCGTGTGTGGGACCGTACGAGTCGGGCGAAACCGGTGTGAACCACCACGTTCGCGCGGAGAGACGCGTCACGCTGGCCGCGTTTGCATACTTTTGTAGCGCAAAGGATCTCCACCCCGTGATGTCTCCCGACAACACGAAGGCGTTTTCTGATTTTTTTGCACACGACCCAGACAGATACACCATTGGGGTCAAGACGTGGCATACGAGTTTTAACAAGATGCTGGTATTGGTGACCCTGTGGTCCAGAACCGGGGAACACGAACTGATGTTCGGCAGGGGAGAGTGCCGCGAAAATCTCAACTACGACGCGTTGAGATATAAAACCCTCGCTCAATCCCTCGTCATCGAGGGTTGGCCCACGGCGAACACCGAGGTGGCGTTTTTGAACAGCGAGGGTAAACCCGGTTGGAAGGAGAGCGACGCTCAACGCAACAGATCTCTCGGGTTCGTTGATCTCATTTATTTAAATCATTTATTTAAATTAATAAAATTTTTAAAACACCCTCTCTCATCGTTACTGAATCTTTTAGGTTCATGCACGAACAACCGTCGGAAGAAGAATTTTTCGAACCGGTTGCCGTCAACTTCATCACGAAGGTTCACGACGCACAGTCCAGCAACGGCGGACAAGATAGTACCATTTGCGTCGTTAACCGCTATGCGTTCCAACGGATCGAAAACATCTGGTTGATAAAAGACTATCGTCGCGGGGAGCCGGAGATAAACACAAAGGACGTGTTCGCCGAAGACGGTTTTCGGTTCACCCTTCCGGTTTTTGCAAAACGCGAGCCCCGGCGCTTCGATCCGCAACCGGGACCTTCGACCGCGCCGTGAGGCGACCCAGTGCAAAATCGTGCCCCCTTAATCTTGTGATGTTGTGCCAGTGTTTTTTTTTTAACCAGTTTTTGTAATGTTGTGGTGCCCCCCGTTAAAAACATCGATCTCTGAGTTCGCAAAACCGATTCAAACATCGATCTCTGAGTTCGCAAAACCGATTCAATAAATCATATATACTTTTTTGATTCGAGAAAATCGAAGAGGTCTGTGATTTGGTATCCATCCGGTCCGTCCACGCCGGAGAACGCAAACAACTCTCTTGCGTCGAATCGACTCTCGTCCACGGTTCCGTTTTTTATACCCTCGTTAAACGCGTCTTCAACGTCGTTTTGTAGTTGAAAACACATCGTCTCTAAGCGGATCGTGTTTTTTGCGTTTGCGTTCGGGATAAATCTCACCTCGAGTACCGGTTCGAGCCCCCTCAAACAGTCGCCGGTAACAAACAGTCTCGTGTCGGGATACACAATCAAACGGCGGTCAACGTACGCCCCGCGCCAACCCATGGGTTCAAACGCAAAATACAAATCCCCGCCTGTGTTTTTTAGCGACTTCACAAAGAGTCCGCTTCGAACGGGAACGCGAGACGCGTTCTCCAGCGCGTTGGCGAGTTGATAATAAGGAAATTCACGCACCAACACGGCGCACCACGAGATCGCGCACGCTGTGGCAAACACCAACAGCGCGATGATCATTTTTTTTTCGCGCGCATTTGCGCACAGCCATCTCTTTTTTATCCTCCCTCGTGTTTACTTTAAACCACCCCACCCGCAATCGTCGTTCGGTGCTGGTGGCCTTAGCCATGGGTGGAAACATCGAAAACGAAATCGCGTTCGAGAGGTTAACAAACCTAGTGAAATACAACATCGCCGATTGCATACTCCCCCTTCGGATCGTAAAAAAAACGCGCGGGTTGGAGTTTCTGTGGGCCATCAGTTCTCTCTGCCCCGGAGCGTACCCGGACGATGTGCTCACCAGAGGGATATCTAGCCTATCCATAGACAACATGGTGTCCTTTCTTCAATCCGTTGTGTACGCCCCCGTGTCAACGCGTCGCCGCCGCAACAACCGCACCGATGACGATGATGACAACAACAACGACAACAACAAATACACGGGGGGGTGCGTGTTGAAACCAAAGGTAGGAGTGCACGGGCTAGACGGATCCTCGCGGATGGTGTTTGTGGATTTCGACTCGCTGTACCCAAACGCGATGCAACACTTTAACGTCGCACCGGGACACGTGTTTTCTCTGTCGGAAACAGAGCTAAACAAACTCCGAGAGAGGGGGTTCGATCTCGATCGACTGGTTCACCTCGTTCGATGCAACGACTTTGCCAAAGACAAGTCGATCGCAAACTACCTGGTCTCTCCGCGAGCCGATACCCTGTATAGATCGCCGGTGTCGTTATACCTCGCCACGCTATTGGAATCGAGAAAACGCGCCAGACTCATCGGAAACACGATGGAGAGCAACGCTCTGAAGCTGATGGCAAACTCCACGTACGGCAAGTTCGCCCACGAGGGTTCTCCGATATACGACGTGTTGTGCGCGGCGATGACAACCGCAGCCGGGCGATACGTGCTCCAAACGGCAAAGGACCTGTTCGAGAGCACCCACCGCGAGTTCAACGCCAAAGATTTTTGGAACGCAACGAAAGGCGCGCGAGACGACGGGAATCTCCACGAGTTTCGCGAGTTTGCCGACGCGGTGGGTTCGCTGTGCAAAACGCTGGGTGACGCCGCAATGTACGCGTTCTCGTCTTTTTGCAAGACAAAAACGTTAAACCCCGAGGTGTATCTGCTCGCGAGGTACGCATCGTCGCTGCTGCTACAAGACAGTCGGGTGGTCCTCGGGGACACCGATAGCGTCTGTGTGTATTTACCCGCCAACGACCCACGCACGAGCGCTCAGATACAAGAGATGATCAACCGACACCTCTCGGAAGTCACGGGCGAAAACTTTTTTCGCGTGAAGATCGAAAAAGAGATCAACGTGCTCGTCATCCCGAAGAAAAAGATCTACGCAACGTTGGCTTTGGACGGAAAGATCGAAGCCAAGGGTCTTCCCACGAAGAGCGTACCGAGGTACGTGATCGATCGCGTGCACGGTCTGTACGAGATTATGTTTCGGTACCTCGTGGCCGTGAAAGAGGGTCGCGAGACTCGCGGCGAGCCTCTCGTTGCGCGTTTCAAAAAAGATTGCGAAAAGTGGGTGGACGAACTCGTGGCGGCGATCCGAGGGTACGGCGACGGTGGGATCGTGTATCGCAACGTGAAACCCGCGCATCGGTATAAAAACCAGAATTGTTACATGGCGCGGGTGTCGAACCGGTTCGAGTCCCTCTTTCCCGGATCGACGAAAGACCAACAATCGCTGGGCGTGTTGGTCCCGCTGTCTCGAACGAACGCATCCCTCAACGAGATCCACGCTCCGAAGGCAAACCGCGCGATACCGATCGACCCCAGATCCGATCGAAACGAGTGCCAGACCGAAGAGACGGACGTGTACACGTACGCCGCGGAGACGGTGTGTCCGAAGATCGAAGATTTTGTTCGCATCACGGCGAGCGCGCTAGAAGCGGTTGAGGGCAACGATGGGAGCAGGCGGTTCGATCGCCTCGATTGCGAGGGTTTAGCAACGCGGGCGCGCGGCGTTCGTACGTGTGAAGAATTCGTCGACGTCGTTGCAACCAACATCGACGGCGAGGATAAATCGAAGAAAAAACCTCCCATCGTCGCGGCCCGTTTAGATCATCTCAGAGACGTCGCCATCAAAAAGCTAGAAAAGCGGGCGCGAGATCTCCACACGTGGATCGGAGAGGACGAGTGGAGTGAAAAAAACCGACAACTCCGTCGCGTCTTGGGAGGGTGTAGCGGTCTGAACGTGGAGGTGAACTTCGGCGGGATCTCTCGCGCGATGGGAGATTACTTCAACGAGTTTTGCGGAACGCACTGCACGAATAAGTACAAGCACAGCCTCGATTTCGTCTTGAAGGTGGTCTGCGTAAAAGAAACGTATCGACTGGAACACACGGACGGAACACCCATGGATCTGAGAGAAGCGATCTCCATGCTGTTTAAACGCAACACGGTGTTCTGGACGGTGTCTTTCGAAACGGAGTGGGATCCGAAAGAGCCGTTGCGATGGGATCGTCTATATTGGACGTTCGTTCACGTTTTTGGCCACGCGGCGGATCCGAAGCTGCGCGACGACCCGCGTCGACGACAGATACAGACGACGCTCGGCGTGTTTACCACCGACGACAACGGGGATCTCGAATCCGTAAAGACCCACGTGACGGTATGCGATAACAAGGGAGTTGCTAAGACGACCAAACGCGGGTTCAACGAGAACCCGCCTCCTCGGAGCGAGGATCTCAAGATCGAGATCGTGGAAAAGGTGGCCTACGTGCTGCGACCCGCGGACCTCAAGGACCTTCCGAACGATGCGATCACCGTACGGATGTCGGATCTCCTGTGCGGCGGCGGTGACGGCGAGGGTCCGGAACTACCGGTGCTGCATTACAGAGACGGAAGCAGCGCCGTGATCTTTTCGAACGAGAGGGACCTGGTGTTCGCGTCCGTGCACCGGTTACAGAGGCACGACACGGCCATCACGATGGGGTGGAACAGCGAATACGATCTCGGGTTCCTCTTGCGCAAGGCCATCGCATACGGATGCATCCCCGACGGAACCAGTCTGTACGAACTCGAGCGTTTCCTGCGAGGCACCACGGGTGGCGACGGTAAAAAAAAGAGTTATAGCATCAAACAGCGCACCCCTCCGCTCGTGTCGAGACATCAAGTTCACATCGACGTGAAACACCTCTGTGCCATGACGAACCCGGCGCCAAACGGAAAACTCGGAACCAACGCACAGTTGATCTTGGGCGAAGACAAGTTAGAGTACAACATGAACGAGATGAGAGCTCTCTACGAGAACCGTCCGCTCTTACGAGAACAGAAGGATGCGATCGATGCGTTCGCCCGGATCGACAACGAACGATCGAGATGCTCCCCCCCGGGGGATCTGAACGTGTATGCGGCGTTTGCGCGCGACTACGAGAATCTCATCGCCGTGGTGAGGATCGCCAACTCGCCCCGTCCGGGTTACCTACCGGAGCCGCACGTTTCGCTCGTGGATCTGGATCGCAACCTCCGGGACGAAGACGCGACCATCAGGAGCGTGTTTTTGGTGCGGTCTTTAAAGAAACTGAAGGCCGTGCGTATCCGTAGCACCCGGTGCCCGGAGATCGATCCGAACGAGGGTGTGTTTTTTTTTTCCTCGAGCGATTCCGTCTTAGACGTGTTGGCGAGTCCGGTGAATCTCGTGTTTTTCGAGCCGGCAACAAAACTGTACCATAGGTTACCTTCAACGTTATATTTCGAAGGGTTCATCGACGCCTTGTGCGCCACATGCCAGAGATGGAACGTTGATTTTTCGTACATCGATTAAATTTGAAATGAAACGAAATGAATTTCAAACAAACACACGCGCACGTCAAAAACTCCCATCAGACTCCATAAATCGTCTCGTTACTAAATTCTCTCTCTTCGTGGTCTCGTTCTCTCTCTTCGTTGTTTTCGTCAGAGTTCATGTCCATCACCGAGCGATCGACGATAGATTCTTCTACGGTGACGTCGACGTCGACGATAAATTCTTCTACGGTGACGATGTCGTCGTCCACGCTAAACTTATCGTTGGAACCGAAGTTGGAACCGAAGGTGACGGCACGACTGGCGGCGACGTTTTTCCGTTTTTGAACAACGACGAACCGCACGAGCGCCAAAACGTGCGTTACGCAGTCGAGCGCAAACACCAATCTGGCACACCACACCATGGTTTCTACGGCGAGGCGAGGAGGGCCGTTTTTGTAAAAATTTTTTAATGCGTCCACACAACCGATCTCGTGTAGCACCGTTCCGTTTTTTCCCCAACAGGACGACGGAAGCGGAACGTGGTGGGCGTAGTCGTCGGGAGACACGGGACCGCAACAACCGAGGGTTTCCTCGAGTTCGTGGATCGTATTTTCGAATTTCACTCCGGCGAGGCGGTTGAAAAATTCTCCCTCTACGACCTCTTGAACTGACGTCTGAAGATCGCGGTGCGGGGAACGCAAGAGTCCGTCCGACGAAAGCTCGCCTGCCACCACGGAATCCAGCGTGGCCCATACTTCGTCCACCACTCGGGTGTACGAACCGGAAAAAAAACACACGACGGCGTTACCCACCGAGACGACGATCGTACCGATGGCGTCTGGAACCTTTGGAACCCACGCCAATGCAACGAAAGTTGATATCACAAACCCTCGCGTTCCCACGATGATGCGGTCCAGGTGCTCAATCTCGTCTCGGCGTAAGACCTCTGTCGACAACTGAGACATCCGTTCGGGCAAGACGGCCACGGATATCGGTGTTAACCGGGTCCTCGTCGTGTGGTCGATCGCGAACACCATCAACATCACCGCCACCAACAACCATCTACTCAGGCGCAAAAACCACATCACCCCTCGCTTTTGGACAACGGACGCCAGTGACTGTGTTCGTACTCGGACGAGTTACCGGTGCAAATAGATCGTGGTGCTATTTATGTCACCCCCCCTCACCCGCGTGTGACTGTAAGGCTAAACAATGGGTGAGCGAATAAAAAACAAAACATCATCGCTGCGCGTGGCCACTTCAAACACAGATTGAAAAAAAACCCTACAACGCCATTTGCCATCGTCGCGTCGGCATGGACCGCGATCGGATCTCTCGGCTCCCGCCAGAACTGAAGGACGCCGTTGCGGTGCGGTTCGGGATCCCGAGTGACTTCAAAGCGTTTTCCCGCGCGTACGGTGCGAGCGACGCCGCGTTTGTGCGATGGGCGCGCGAGTACGCCAAAAAAAACCGAAACAACCCCGCTCCACCTCGCGGTAAAGTACGGTCGACTCGCTGCCGCGAGGTTGTGTTTGAACGCAAAGGCGAACGTCAACGCCGAAAATCAGTACGGGATGACCCCGCTCCACCTCGCGGCAGCATACGGTCGATTTTGTGTCGCAAAAATGCTCTTAAAGGCGAAGGCGAACGTTAACGTCAACGCCGAAGGTAGAGACGAATTGACACCGCTCCACCTCGCGGCCCGTAACAACAAACTCAAGATCGTGACATTGCTCTTGGACGCGGGGGCAGATGTCGAAGCTAGGGACGGATTGGCGAAGACCCCGCTCCACCTCGCGGCGACGGACGAGATTGCGAGAGCGCTCGTGAACGCAAAGGCGTACGTTGATGCTATAGACGCTAGAGAGAGAACCCCGCTCCACCACGCGGTGCAGGACGGTCGATGCGATGTTGTGAGTGCGCTCCTCAAGGCAAAAGCAAACGTTAACGCCATAGACGTATACGGGTGGACCCCGCTACACCTCGCGGAGTTTGTGTCATGCCGTGTCGCGAGGCTGCTACTCCGTGCGAAGGCGTGCGTCGATGCAAGAGACTATGGCGGAATAACCCCGCTCCACTACGCGGCGATGGGAGACCGACGCAACATCGCGAGTCTGCTTATACGGGCGAAGGCGAACGTCAACGCCAAAAACGATCAATTACAAACCCCGCTCCACAATGCGGCTCAGAAAGGCCACCACGAGATCGCGAGCCTGCTCTTGGGAGCGAAGGCAAACGTCCACGCCAGAGACATATACGAGAATATCCCGCTCCACACAGCGGCGTGGGGCTCACCGACTCTTGCACCTGCAAAACAGGGTCAACTCCAGACCGTGAGGTTGCTCTTGGAGGCAAAATCGGACGTCCACGCCAGAAACAAAGCGGGGTTAACTCCGCTACACGTTGCGGTGTTTGGTAATAGTGATGTTGCGAGGGTGATAATCGGTGCGAAGGCGGACGTCGACGCCAGAGACAACGACGGGAAGACCCCGCTCCACCTCGCGGCACAGCGCGGTGAATGCCCGTTCGCAAAAGTGTTGCTCTTGGATACGAACGCGGACGTCGACGCCAGAGACAACGACGGGAAGACCCCGCTTCACCTCGCGGTGGCGTGCGATCAACACTGTTTTGCGATATTGCTCTTGAAGGCGGGGGCGGACGTCAACGCCAGAGACAACGACGGGATGACCCCGCTCCACATCGCAGAATCAAGAAAAGACACTATTTTCGTTCGGTTTATTTTTGTTAAAAAGAGCTCCACCGCATCGTTATCGATCGATGACAAATTTTGGCATATTAATCATCATCGTTGCACTTGGGAACACACGTCGCGATATTGATACCGTATCCCTCATAATTGATCAATCACCGGGTCTTTTGTGTACGTCTTTTGTGCCGGTTGTGTTGTGAATTAGACGAGACCCCCTACTCGGTGATCGATTGACGATAATGCGATAATGTCTTTTGTGTACGTCTTTTGTGCACCCCCGAGACAAGACCCCCTGCTCGGTGATCGATTGACGATGGTGGACAAACGAAACAAAGGTGGGGTTGTGTTGTGAATAGACGAGACCCCCTGCTCGGTGATCGATTGACGATAATGCGATGTAAAAAGAGTGATGTAGTTTGCCCGGATCGACGTGCGGTATCGGTTTCGAAATAAAAAAGGGGTGGTTATCACCAGCAACCCAGAAAGAGTTGAATGTGTATTCACCCAGGGTACTGTGCATATCAAGGGGTTTTCAATAGTACTATTATCAACATGCTCAATGCTAGCACGCTGGGGTGCTCGAGGCTAGGCCATGAAGTGATTTAGTGCCTAGAGAGCAAACCACATCTTAAGGTTCTTTCCCATAGAAAGTCTGTTCTGTTGATATCTTGAGTTGCACTGAACTCATTGAATCTGTTTGTGTTCTACGTAGCACTCAAGTTTCTCGAAGAAAAGTTGGCTGATCATTGAAGGTTAAATGACATTGAAAATGTTTTCCCAAGTTCAGTGAAGGATATGAATTTCTGTTGGTTGATGCAATTGCCTCACGGTTTAAAAGGTGATATTGGTGGAAAATTTCCAACTCACTCGACATTCCTGCTGTTTTTTGTTTAAGGCACTTGAGAATTTAGAAGAGATAGTCAGGATGGATTTTGCTGGTAGAGCATCCAAGTATTTCATAGGAATACCCCTGAAATTATTATATCGTGATGTCAATTATGAAAAATGCCAAAAATGAACACACACGATCGACACACAAACTACCGAGATAGCAAAAAGCAACATCGCTCCCCAAGTGAAAGCAAGTCTCTGATCAAACGCTTCGAAATGGTGCTGTACTTGTTTGAAGATGTAGTTTGGTGAATGAGAAGAGTTGTTGTCTTTGGCTGCTGGGGTGGTAGGTTTTTTCCATTCGATCAACTCCACACCATTGTAGCTCCGACGAGACGTTGGGGCATTTGATCGTTATTATTATATTATCGAACCAAACACCCCAATATTGCAATTTCCCATTCAACAAATCACCACCACCTGGAGCTGTCAACCATTCTTTATAGTCCAACTAATTCTCTCTGGGCCTTTTCAACCAGGACCACTTGCAAGGCCCCAATCCTGACCCAGTCTCATTTAACATCTCTATAATCCAGCCATGCAGAGTGGTTTCCTTCCCAACATTGTCTAAACGGTGTGAACTACACTCCAGACAAATCACCAAAACTTGTTCAATCTTTTTCTATGCAAATGGATTGATTAGGACATGAAAACCTGAGCAACAGAAAACTTGAATTTTTGTTGAATACAGACCTCATTTTCTGAAGGACTGAGTTTTTTTTCATTCACAATTCAAAACCCCAAAGCCTGTGAGAACAATGCATCCTTCCACTTCCAGCTAATTAGAACCTGCAAACCTACATAAGAGACAAACTACTGCATATATATATTTACTGTATAATCATGAAGGACCAGTTTCAGTTGAAGGCCACAAGTCCAAAGCCTAACCCGGATCAGGTGCATTTGTCTCGACACAATTCTCAGTATCCCTTAGCACCAATTCCGATCTTGAAGTAAATGACAACTATTCCCGGCTCTGAGACAAAGGAAAGCCATGCTTTCCTCTGATCTGCAGTGGAGGTACTTCCCCGGGACAGCAGGCACCCCTATGATGTCTGCTTACCTCCTGACTGAC